TAAATCTCAGTACAAAAAAATGGCGGCCGGGCTTAACCTCTTAGAGGGAAATGGGGAAGACCTTACAAAGAGGACATTTGAGCGTCTTAACTAAGCTAAGTTCTGTTTTTAAAAGAACCATAAATTATTCCTGATTTTGTTTTATCATCATCCAACTATACTATAGTTACTTATAAAAAAAATATCTCGTTTAATATGATTTAAGTTTATAATAATTAAATTGAGGTTTATTAGGCAAAAACTTGAGATCCAACTCATGATGTGAAAAGAAATGATGTGATTTTTATCCAGTCTATTAAAAGTACCCGTGTTTTCAGCAAAAATGACTACAATTAACTGTTGTAAAGCTTTTATTTCTAATTTTTCCATGATCTGAAATGAATCCTAATAAAAATAATTACCTAAATATATATTTTATTTAGACAAATTATAAAATTTAAAACAGCGATTATAAAAATATTTTTCATGTAAGATGGTTACGAAATTGTATTTTTTAATCCGGGATCTACCGAAGATTTAACCACATGATCAGCTGCAGAAGGTTTGAAAATTGAAAACAGTAGAGATGACAATCTGATGTGACAACGGTCAGATAGCAAACTGGAAGCGTTTGGCTGTGGTAGAATTTCGAAAATCGTAAAAACTGCCAAAAATTACGTGATTAGCAGCAGGAAAAAAACCTACTGGCGTAGTTTCAGACAACTCTGTATATGACAGATTTAAAAAAGCCAGACAAAATTTTGGAAGCTTTATACGAATCTGACAGCTTTAAAAATCTTAAAAAGAGCCAAAAATTACGTGATCGGCAGCAGGGAAAAAAACAATTGCAATAGTTTGAGACCACTTTGTAGGTAACAGATTTAATAAAGTTAGACAAAATTTTGCAAGCTTTGTACGAATCTGACAGCTTTAAATATCTCAAAAAGCTCCAGAAATTACGTGGCCAGGAGCAGGAATACATCTGTTAAAATACTTTCAGAGCACAGTAATTTGAATGTTATTTTATAAAATCTGAATAATTTTTTTGGAAGCTTTTCACCAATCTGACATGCAAATTTGAAAAATTTACCAAAAACAATGCAAAAAACAGTTGGAATAATTTTATACCACTTAGTAGGTAACTAATTTGATAAAATCTGACAACATTTCGGAAACTTTTCACGAATTTGAGAATCAAATAGTTTCAGACTACTTTGTAGGAATTTGATTTAATAAAATCTGATCAATATTTAGGAACTTTTCGAGATAGTAGCACTTATTACGTGCGGGGCGACATGACAAAAATTGGGATCCGTTGGTCCAAGGGTTTTTCCTGCTACCTATTTCAATCTATCTATTAAGTTTATCAAAAAAAAAAAAAATGGTCAATCTAATCATAAAAGTGCAAACAAATCAAAATCATGCAAAGCACACACACAAACATTGTTAATAATAAATAATTAACCATTAACCATGTTATGTGTTAAGACAATGCATTTTTTTTTTTACATTTCATAAAATACTAGTTATCTATATATATATATATATATATATATATATATATATATATATATATATATATATATATATCATATAGTTATCTATATCGATTCATAAGAAGCATCTAAAGAAATGAGTGTATACACACGCAATCATGCCTGTAATTTAACATTACATTATTTACTCTATGGTGTATAAAATATTCAATAAAAAAAAAAACAGAGATGACGTTTATATTAACAAAAACGACACTTAACATTTCTATCACCTTACCAATTTATTAAATGGGCTTGTAAAGTTGTTGGGCTTGGTAACGAGAGAATTCCTAAAAGGTTAATATTTACTGTGCCGAATGGTAAGCGTCCGAGGGGTAGACCGAAGCGAAGGTGGGAAGATTGCATTAAAGCCGATCTGAAGGGACTGGGTTTGGACGGCGAACGGTAGAGGGAGGTGTGTAATAAGCGATTGATGGTGTCGGCATCGAACCTTCGGGTTCGCTAAGCCTTTTATTATTATTATTACCAATTTATTATAAATTCGTTTATAAAAAAAATCGTTGCAATCGTACCTCCTTAATAGAAACAAATAATGAACAATGTATATTCAATACAATTTACTACAGTAACATGTTAAATATACAATATAAGTTATCTCTCCATGAAAAAAAAATGCCCTGGCTTTGGCCATATTTGGGCATTGGATATTTTTGCAACCTTTTTCTCCGTAAAAAAGGAAAGTATATCTGGAATCTTTTCAAATAGGTCGAGTTTCGAAACTTTTCTATAAATCTTTAGTTTTTTTCATAAACTGTAGTGGCCTTTTCTTTTCTTTACGTCCTGAGGCAGATTTGAAATCAGACCCTGTCTGAAGATGAAAAGAAGGCAAACCTTTGGCTAAGTCTGTGCCAATCTCTTATTAAGATACGTGCATTCTACCTCAGTTTCTATAGTTATGCATCCATCTTTTAGATAATAGCAGGATTCCTCATAAGACAACACCAAATGAAAATGATCATCTACTAATGAGTTTCTAAAATTAGATGGTTTAAAATTGTGTGATCCCTTTATAGTATAATTATCTGATGTTCCCTTACCCTGGTCTTTCATTTTTTTTTTTTTTTTTTTTGCACTGTTTAGGATAATTTTACATATCTATCAAATATTTATATCTAGTGAGGATGATCTGATTGATCTTAACTTTTGAAGTATAAAACTTGATTGATCACCTTGAGGGAGAGTATGCAGAAAAACATGTCATCAACAATTGTATATTGAAAGAATGAGACGCGAAGGCTAGGAGTAACCACATCAAATATTTTTACTATAAAGGGATCACACAATTTTAAACCATCTAATTTTAGAAATTCGTAAGGAAAGGATCATTTCAAAGCCGAGTTAGTAAAATTTATTGCTGAAGACCAAAAACCCCAAGAAAGTCACCGACTATTGGGTAATTTTCATTTAGTTGTGGCTTATGAGGAACATGCTATTGTCTAAAAACAGATGCATAGCCATTCAAACTGAGATTTCTCGTATTTCAACGAGGGATTTGGATCGACTTAGCCAAAGCCTTGTCAGCTTTACATATTTAGACTTCACATATGCCTCTTGGCGTAAAGAAAAGACAAAGGGCACTACAGTTTATCTTTTCATTACGCCAAGAACGTACGTTTATGAAATAAAACTAAAGATTTATAGAAATATTTTCAAAACTCGAAAATATACCTGCCTACTGTACGGCCAAGATTGTACAAATATAAATAAAGATAGGACATTTTTTTCTGAAGAGATAACTTATATGGTATATTTAACGTGTTAGTGTAGTAAATTGTATTGAATTTATAGTCTTCATTAATTTTTCCTATTTAGGTAGTGGATGGATAATTTGTGAAGGTGATCGCGCTCCAATCTGGTTTGATGGGTTTCTATTGCCATTGGAAATCAAAAACTTTGATGACATAAAAACTGACGATGAAACTGAATAGGATATTGAACAAGAAACAGACTATGATTCCGCAGATGAAGGGGACAACTTAAATTTTTTCACCTTACTTCTAGAAATTTTTATAAACGAATTTATAATAAACTGGTAATGTGATATAAACGTTAAGTATCGTTTTTCTTAATATAAACGTCATCTCTGGTGTCATCTTTCTATATATATAGACCAGACTGTTCACAAGTACCTTTCTTTATTAAATATTTTATTTTCAAACCTTCTGCCGCTGATCAATCTACCTAAGTTACAGTTACATTTTACAGTTTTTGGCAGCTACAGTTTTCATTTTAAAATTGCTTGATTTTCTTATCTTTTTATATTACTAAAACCATTTAGTTTTAAAGTGGTCTGAAGATGAATATTATTAGTTTCCACTAATTTCTATTATATGAGAAGGAGTTGATCGGTGGGAGGAAGGGGGAGGGGGGTGCGGTCAAATAAATACTAAATTATACAAATAGTATTATTTAATTTTCTTGCCGACGTTTCGACCCACTTTGCAAGTCTTCATCAGGGCGTAGGATGTAGCACTGCGGGAGGCAGTTAAAACACTGGCTCGAGGCCATTAAATGTAATTACACGAACAATAATACTTTAAGAGATAGTTTTTAATATTTTTTTCTATAAAACATGTTTATATTTTACAATTTTGGAGGGGGCTTTAGCCCGAAAACACCTCCCGTAGATCCGCCTGTAACTATTGATGAATTACAAATCATATGAGTTTCAATAATTAGTTGAATTACAAATATACGTTATCACATGATAATGCATTATAATTTAAATAGAAAACATATCATTATTTAAGTATTTGTCACTGATTACTCATATAAACAAGTATGGACTTATGAAAAAAAATCTATTTGAGAGGGACTTCTTGTCCGAAAACCCTCACCTTGAATACGTTTGTTTTCTAGAGCAAATCCATAAACAGTTTATATTTTGGGGATTTCAAAAATTTACTATCAGGTTACATCGTTGCCATACTATACGTCAGGGTATTTAATGGCGTGGATAACTCTTAGGTAGTTTTATTTACCTCCAACTTACCTGTATTTAGACTCCGGTATAAAATTACCTAACAGTTCTTTCATCCCAACTAAATCAGTATCCACAACATGGCTACGGGGGTAATAATCTAGCTATTTATCGCTCTAAAACCCCTGGCATACCTATCTCCACAACATAGATAGTAGACAGTTTAATTTAATCCGTTAAAATCTCGAATATGATAGTAATCACATTTATTGCTTTTGTATATTTCATTTAAGTGATATTATTATTAAAGTGGGTCTACTTTAAGTTTTTTTGGAACTTTAGAAAATGATATATTACCAAGCCAGTCAGAATTCAAGTTGATAGTCCCAACGTGATAGAAATATTTGTTAGTGTACTAAAAAAAAATGAAAACTCAAATTTAAATTTTAAGAATATTTTGTATGTTACATTTCGAATTAGTGATTTTTTTTTATAACAAATGACGATTATAAAATCTAATCGAACTATCAAGTTGTTATGGGGTTGGCGGTTCCGAATTTGTAACCGTTCACTTTCTTCCAATTGTAGAATAGCCTGAAGTTTTGTTTGTATAATATTATTCTTGCTGCTTATTTTGGATTAAGGTATTCAGTCTATTGGTGTTATAACCTTTTAATATTTGTAGTGTAATGTTATTTAAATATGATTTGGATATTTCGTTAATTGCGCTGCCTTTTTTTTTAATGTAGTAAGGGATTCTGTTATGTCTAAATATATTTAACTTTTCTTAACATGAGAATTATCTTAGATGTGTATCATTTCGTTAATGAATTAAGATTAGTTATGATGAATACCGTAGCTTTTAATTGAATTGAATTTTTTTGTTAACCTCTTGTAGTTGTTATTCATAGTGGACTTAGGATACCTAAAGGTAAAATAGCCACAGTTTTCATTGCTTACAATTGCTTGATTTTCTTATCTTCTTGTATTAGTAAAACCATTTTTATTTAGAGTGGTTTGAAGATGAATAGTATTACTTTCCACCAGTTTCTATTATATGTGACTAATAACTAAATTTATTTAAACGTGTTTTATCCTATGTATCAGAGTACACAATTTTAAATAATTCCTTAAGCAACAATTCTATTTCAATTTTCAAACCTTCTGCCGCTGATCAATATTCGGTAGATCCCGGACTAACTGGTTAATACACTCTTCTTTTTCTTGTTTTTTTTAAGCCATTTCAAAACGAGCATATGATTAATTAGTTGGTTTCTTATTAATCTTTGGGAGAGCTGAAATAGCCTACGTTATGGGGAATACTCCACAAATATTTCATAAATTTTATTGTAAACAAAATTATAAAGTAATTTCAACTTGTTTTCTTCTATATTATCTTACTATTTACCTAATGACGCGCGGCCTGAGCCTCGTTTGGGTCCAGAGAAATTCGTTCTGATGTTAAGAACTATTTCGTTACTACAGAGACTTATCAGTATTTAATTTTTGTCCAATAAATTGCAATGCCTCTTACAAAAAGGCTTTATTTAACAAAAATTAACCAAATATTGATGAATTACAAATCATATGAGTTTCAATAATTGGTTGTATTACAAATATACGTTATCACATGATATTGCGTTATAATTTAAATAGAAAACATATCATTATTTAAGTATTTATCACTGATTACCCATATAAACCAGTATGGACTAATGAAAAATAAATCTATTTGGGAGGGACTTCAGTCCGAAAGCCCTCACCATGAATACGCTTGTGTTCTAGAGCAAATCCATGTAATAACAATTTATATTTTGGGTATTGCAAAAATTTACTATCAGTTTACATTGTTGCCATACTATACGTCAGGATAATTAATGGGGTGGATAACTCTTAGGTAGTTTTATTTACCTTCAACTTACCTGTATTTAGACTTCTGTATAAAATTACTTAACAGTTCTTTCATCCCAACTAAATCAGGATCCACAACATGGCTACGGGGGTAATAATCTAGCAATTTATTGCCCTACCCTATCCACCCTACCTACCTCCACAACATGGATAGTAATAATAATAATAATAAAAGGCTTAGCGAACCCGAAGGTTCGATGCCGACACCACCAATCGCTTATTACACACCTCCCTCCACTGTTCGCCGTCCAAACCCAGTCCCTTCAGATCGGCTTTAATGGAATCTTCCCACCTTCGCTTCGGTCTACCCCTCGGACGCTTACCATTCGGCACAGCAAATATAAATCTTTTAGGAATTCTCTCGTTACTAAGCCCAACAACTTTACAAGCCCATTTGATTCGCCGCGACGAAATTACCTCAATTATATTACCCGGATACAGTTCACGCAATTCGGCGTTGTGTAACCGTCTGAACTCTCCGGTTAACTCATCCTTCTTCGGTCCGAATATTCTACGCAATACTTTATTTTCAAAAACCTTAAGACGCTGCTCATCCCTTAATGTAAGCGGCCAAGTTTCGCATCCATAAAGAACTGTAGGCAAGATAATTGTTTTATAGATTCTAATTTTTAAGTTTCGGGACAAGAGGCGCGAACTGAGTAGTTTTGTCACAGAAAAATAACAAGCATTTCCCGCCTTCAGTCTAACCTTAATCTCTTCTTCAATTTCGTTTTTTCTAGTTATCGTAGAACCTAGATACCTAAATTTATCTACCTGTTCAAACATATTACCATCTATATCGATATCACCAGTAGTATCGCCATTTTTGCAGCTAACCATATATTTTGTTTTATCCACGTTTATTTCGAGTCCTAGTTCTTTACCGGCTTTCATTAACGTTGTCGTATTTAGTTTTATAGTTTCAACGTCTTCGCTTAACAGTACCATATCATCAGCATAGCCCAGCACGGATGTTGTCCTACCCAGATCCAACCCTTTCTTGGTACACATTACCTCCCTAATGGCATGTTCTAATGCCAAATTGAACAGTACAGGCGAAAGGGAATCCCCCTGTTTTAAACCCGAGCGAACCTCAAATTTTTCCGACAGATTATTACCGATTCTAACTTTATTGAGTGTCTCCGTCAAGCACATCCTGACTAGATTTACTAGTTTTTTTGGAATCCCCTGCTCGATTAGAATATTATACAGTTTCTGGCGGTCAATAGAATCGTAAGCCTTTTTAAAATCTATATACAGCTGGTGAACAATACCGTTATACTCCAATTTTTTCTCTAATATTTGCCGTAAAGTAAATATTTGATCAATAGTCGAACGATTCCGTCTAAATCCGCATTGGTAGTCTCCGATAATTTCCTCGGCGTATTCCGTGATTCGACTGGTTAAGATTAAAGTGAATATTTTATAACATACCGGAAGGAGTGAAATTCCTCGATAGTTATTACAATCCGTCCTCGGCCCTTTTTGTGAATCGGAATAAGAATAGATTCTTTCCATTCTTCAGGTAATTTCTCGTTCACCCAGATCTTTTTAACCAACCGATGTATTTTAGAAACTCCAGCTTCCCCGCATGCCTTAATTAGTTCAGTAGGAATATTATCGATTCCCGCTGCTTTATATGATTTTAATTTTCCGATAGCTACTTCAACTTCCTCTTTACTTGGTCCTTCTATTAACGGTTCAGCACTCTGGTACTCAGAAGGAGGACACAGATCATAATTTCCCGTATTTAAAATATTGTCAAAGTGGTCCTTAAACTTATTCAATATGTCAACCGGATCGGTCAGAATATTGTTATTATCATCCCTAATTCCAGACGTTACGGGCCCTACATATTTACGTGATCTGTTTATACCTTTGTACATGTCTCTTACGTTATTTTCGATTCTATTAGTTTCTATTTCAATTATTTTATTTTTAAGATACTCCCTTTTTTTATTTTTGAGCAATTTTGTCGTTTCGTTCTTTGAGATTCGGAAGTATTCCAGATTGTCTTCGCTAGGATTATTTAGAGCTTTTAATTTAGCGGCTTTTCGTTTTTCACACATGTTTAAGCAATCTTCATCAAACCACGGTTTGTTATTCTTATTTTCCTTTTTTCCTAGACACGAGTTACCGACCGCTTTAATATTATCCCTGATCTCTATCCATAACTTGTCAATATCCTCGTGGTCCTCGTCAGGAAGCTCTAAAGCTTCAAACCTATTCTTAACATCTAGCTCGAATTGGTTTCTAATTGATGGATTTTTTAATTTTTCCAAATTAAAATTCTCAAAATCGAAACGGTTTTCTTTTCTCTTTTTTATATTAAGTTTTTGTCGAAGTTTCGCGATTACTAATTCATGATCCGACCCACATTCTGCTCCGCGATAAGACCGTACATTAATTATACTGCTTTGCCAGCTATGTTGTATCAAGACATGATCGATTTGATTTCGTGTTTGCGAATCCGGTGATGTCCAAGTATATTTATGAATATCCTTATGTTTAAACGTCGTACTTTTAATTATCAGGTTTTTCGAGATGGCAAAGTTTATCAGACGGATCCCATTATCATTACTATATTCGTGCAAACTTTCTTTACCAATCGTCGGAATATAAACTTCTTCCCTTCCTACCTTTGCGTTCGCGTCACCTACAATTATTTTCATGTAGTTTCTTTCGCGGTAGTTTATCATAAACCCATTCGAGTTTATCGTAAAATTCACTTTTGACTTCATCGTCACTGTCTTCGGTCGGACAATGTATGTTTATTAATGCGATTTTAAAGCAACGTCCCTGAAATATAGCTACCGAAATTCTATCACTAAAGAATTGTACGTCCCTCAAAGCGGATAGTAATCTACTCCTAATTAGAAACCCGGTACCTAAACAATGATTTCCACTTCCTCCGTACCAAATAGTGTACTTTCCTTCCCTCATCGAGCCCTCCACTGGCCAGCGAACCTCTTGCAGAGCCACAACATCCAAGTTGTACCCATTTACCTCATTCGCGACCGATTTTAGCCCCCCTGCTGTGTTTAAACTCCTTACGTTCCATGTACCAATATTTAAATCCCTATATTTCAACTTGCGCCATGAATCCCCTGAAGCAGTCCCCATCCGGAGACCCGAACGGGGGACTAGTTTACTTCCGGATAATGAGCGTTTTACCTTAAGGAGATCCAAGACTATTTGTGGTGTTTGGTGAACTAAAGATATGTGAGTAGGGCGTTCAATCCTACGTCACACCCTCCAGCAAGTCTGGGGTCCCCTCTTATTGTTGGTCAGCGAGTCCATCGGACCTAGCCAGGAGGAACTTCCAAGGAATTTCCACCGACCATCGCCACCCGTGGGACGCTCCCCATACGCGGTAATGAGCCCGTGCGAGGACAACATGGCTATAGGCAGTTAGACGGTAGCTATAGACAGTTTAATTAAATCCGTTAAAATCTCGAATATGATAGTAATCACTTTTATTGCTTTTGTATATTTCATTTTAATAATATAATATTATTAAAGTGGGTCTACTTTAAGTTTTTTTGGAACTTTAGAAAATGATATATTACCAAGCCAGTCAGAATTCAAGTTGATAGCTCCCAACGTGATACAAATATTTTTTATTGTACTAAAAAACAAAAAAAAATTCAAATTCAAATTTAAAATATTTTGTATGTTACATTTCGAATTAGTGATGATTTTTTTTATTACAAATGCCGATTATAAAATCTAA